ACAAAAAACAATTAAGGTCCATATAAAAAATGGGCCAAATAGGCGTGACATAATTAATGGACCTTCCCTTAGTAAGGAAATTACCAACTAAACTGTTGACTGAACAGGTCTCATCCATTTGAACAACTTTGCTGACGACAGAAAACTTCTATCTGGTTTCGATCCTGAGTTATCGATGTTAGAACTTTAATTGTACTCAGGCGCCAATTAGCTTTGGCATCATTTATTTAATATATTTCGCCTTTATATCCGATGCTTTCTACATTTCTTCTACATTCTTCACCACTTTAGGTCGTTTTCGAGGTCGTTTTAGAAGGCCCAGTATTTTATGTTTGGGGGGTTCATATCTTTCGGCACGAAATCGACATCATTCTCCTTATACCACTCTTGCACGTCCTTCGTGTAGTGGCATGATGCCAAATCCGGCCAATAGATCGTCGGACCGTCGTGAGCCTTCAGAAGAGGGAGATGCCGCTTTTGGAGACACACTTCCAAATACACCTCCCCTTTCATGGTGCTTGCGGTAACGAAAGGTGTACTTCGCTTTCCGCAAGTACAAATCGCTTGCCAAATTAAGAACTTCTTGGCGAACTTCGACATCTTCTGTGTTCGGAGGTTCTCGGGAAAATCACACTTATCCTTGGCAGTCATATACAGGTTTCCTGGAATCAGGTTGAAGTCCACATAAATATGTCTCGTCATCCATTACGCAGCATTGTGGTTTCGTTAACTTCTCGTCGTACAACTTCAGGGCCGACTTTTTGCGACCGTATTCTGTTTCTCGTCACGGTTTGGGGACTTCTGAACCTTTAACGTACGTAGCCCAGCTCGAGTTTTGGAATTCTGCACGAAAATCTTGCTCACATGCAACTTTTTAGCTACATCTCGAACTGAGGCGTTCGGTTTCCGTTTAAAGACCCCAACCACGCGTTTGTGATCGTTTTCATTGCCCTGACGGTTTTTTACGGATCTTCAGTTCCGATCAACAGTCAGACATTCTTCGAACCGTTTTATGATACCAGACACCGTGGAATTCGCTATTCCTATTTTTTTCGATGGCACGATACGACAGATCCTTATCATCAAAGTACTCGTGCAAATCTTTTTCACGCAAGCACTGTTCTTTCGTCGCCATTTTGAAAACTTTTTCAACGCACAGAGTGTAAACAATACACATTAAACTATGTCTACGCAAAATTTAAATTAATTTTACCCAACGGATCAAAAGTACGAGTAATTTGAGTGTGTGCGGATTTTAAACGGTACACCCTTTAAACTCTTCACTGCTAAACAAGTCTCGTGCATTTGATCAACTTTGCTGAAGAAAGGAAACTTCTATCTGGTCTTGTTCCAGAGTTATCACTAGAAGAAATTTATTGGTACTCTGCACGCTAACTTATTAAAGAGTAAAAAAAGACCCATTTTGAAGAAAAGTGGCTTAACTCATGAAATGAGTAAAACAGACTTTACTCATTGATGAGTATTCGATGAATACGTCAAAAAAAAAAATACCCTTCTTGTTTCTGTAGATGAATAAAAAGTACCCATTTTGTTGATTTGTGTTTTGCTTCATGGGACTACCTGGCATTAAACCACGTAAATCCTATAAAAATATTCAAAATAATTGAAACACGTCATACTCTTTATTGTTTATAATCACAATAATTATCATATAACCGAGTTCCAAGGCATGAAGTTGTCCTTGCGAAAGAACACTGTTGGAATTAGATCCAGTTCACTACTGGTCGGTCCGCGACAGATGCTGCTCATCACACAGGTTCGCTTTTCCCTTTTTAGAGTTCTTCGCTAGCCTGAAACGGAACACATTTTCAAAATACGTGTCTTAACTTTCATCATGATTGCACTTCTAATTCTTACCTCCTAACAACCGGTTCCAAATTCTTATAACGAAATTTTTTGAAATGGTTTCGGTGAGTATTGTCTAGAATAAAACAGACAATACTCGCTTCGCGAATGATCGCAACACTCACTTATTAAAAAAAATATCAGACACGTTGGGTCTTCACTTCGTCAGGAATGTGTTGACGTTGATTGAAAGCATATTTTTACCCATTCTTTTTTGCAGAAGACATTTTCTCAAATGGGGAAAAAGTACCCGCTTTTCGTTTTTTGAAAATACCCATTTTTTGACAGATTTGAATAACTTCACAAAATGAATACAAGATACTCAATTAATGGGTACTTCCGAGTTAGCGTGTGGTACTACCAAACAAACCATTTCCAAACTAAACTAACCACTGTAAGATGGGTATTGTCCAGCTGAACAACTTTGCTCAAGACTGAATCGTTCTATCTGGTATAGTTCAAGAGCTATAATAGCTGTATTCAGTTCTCGACGCTGCTCCTTGGAACAGTGTACTGAGTACACGCGCAAAACCTCGCGCAAATTTTTCAACTACTTTTTTGATTTTTTTCGAAATGTTTCTTGACCAATAGAAAGAGAAAAACTAAATTTTGGAGTACAACCATCACCCACACACTAAGATTTTTTTACTGGGTTTTTGAATTGCTGAAAAAGTCGGTAAAAATTCAAATGACCGTTATCCGTACCCGAGCAAAGTCGGTTAACAAAATGAAACCAAATCGATATTAAAGTTTGCAGTTCCTATCATAATGAAAACTCATTTTGATTTCAATTGTCGCGATATAAGTCTGATATCATATTGTGCTTTCATTATGCAGCCAAAACTTTTTAAATGAAAGCAACTTAACTTGAAGTTTTGCTGTTAACGTCTTGTCTAAAATTTAATTTAAGTTTATCGCATGGATACCCGAGCAAAGTCGGTTAACAAAATGAAAGCAAATCGATATTAAAGATTGCAGTTTCTATCATAATGAATACTCATTTTGATTACAATTGTCACGACATTAGTCTGATATCATATTGTGCTTTCATTATGCAGTCAAGACTTTTTAAATGAAAGCAACTTAACTTGAAGTTCTGCTGTTAACGTCTTGTTTAAAATTTAAGTTAAGCTTATCTGTCGTTGAACTAACGATTATTGTTTAATTGTTTTGTTTAACACATTTTAGGTCATTCGTAACCAACCCGAGGTGACATTTGAGCTCAAGTCTTTCAGCGTGAGAAGCTTGGATGCTAACCATTTACACCAGGACCGTATTCAGTCAAACATTATGAATACAAAATCAGTAATCAAATTGATTTCATTGAAAGCAGGATTAGTTTTTCGTTTGATTCAACAGTGTAAAATTTTGCTCTCATTTTTGATGTGTTAACCGTTAAGTCAACCAAAATGAGATCAAATGGAGTATTCAAAATAAGTTACATCATAACAGCAAATTCTGATTTCAATTTGATCTCTAACTTTGCTCGGGTAAGGAATCAATGAAAACGACCAACTTTATTTTCTATCGTTAAATGGGGTTAACAGAACTAAGTATGTACAAGTTCAGAACAAACTTTCTCATTAATAAATTTTCCACAGATTTTTAAACTTTTACCGAACAGTTCCGCAATTCAAAAACTCAGTAAAACCGTACTGACTCCATTAGTGTGTAGACTAACTTTTATGGGATTTCAACTATTTCTACAACTTTTTTTTTTCAAAAACGCGTGTATACTCAGTGTACTAGCACGACTGCTAGAAAGTTAAATAAACGAATCAAGAAGACGAAAAATAATAATAAAAAATAGAAGATAAAGCCATGATAGAGGAGGTGAAAAAAAAGGAGAGTCTAGAATCAAGGCCGTCAATTTGTTATACTATGCGGCTCTAGTAGACGGCACAAGCGAGCCTGGGTGAACTTTTCCCTAATAAAATTGTTATGTTTATTTTCCTTAACGACGTGTTTCGAGTATCATCCAAACAACTTGTGGAATAGTTCTATGATTTGGGTTATCGTTCGTTTATAGTATTTTTGATTAGGGCTGGCCGACGAAGGGAACAAAGCTGGACAGTGGACATGTTGGTTTGAGCACGTTATCCGTTGAGTCAACGACATTAAATCGAGGTAAATAGTACCTCAAACCTATAATCGCTATATTTATAACTTCGATCTATCAAGAAGGGGAACCTATTCAAAATATTGGAGACCAATATTTAAAAAGGTACCATCAACTTTTACAATAAAACTTTGATAGTTCTATCATCCCCAACCGAACGCAAATTAACAGCATCATCGGATAGGGGATTCTTTCCCCAACCCACTGATGGTGTTGGTTTGCGTAGCTGAGTCTTGAGTCAAGAGAAAACGGTTTCCGAAGTTTTGTTCGTGAAAGCTGATATGCTCTTTTATGTTATTGATCGTGATGTGCTCGATTGGCGTTGACGGCACCGTCGAAAAATTTGCTCTTTCAGCAAATATAGACAGTTTCTTATGGGAATTTTCGGTGGAGTGAAAGGATAGTACAAAGTCCGCCATGTTTCACGCACAGTCTGACGTTTGCTTATGGATTTTCTCATAGGAGTAAAGAGCTACAGAGTCGCCGTCAACGCCAATTGGTTCCGCTATTTGACAACTCAATTGGTTCCCAAAATTCTATCCGCCGGACTTATCAAATCTAACACGAAACATACAATTTTCACATGATTCATTCAACGAAAGTTAGACAAGATTCAGTTAGAATCACACTAAACTACCAATGCATTAGATGCAACTAATGCAATGGTAATAAACCAGAATTCTATAATGATTTGAAAAAGGTAAACTACATTGTGCCAAAACGTTGGAGAACAGAAATAATATTTTCTTGTTTAATGTGACTGGAGGCCTATATACCAAGAAACGAAAATGTTTAAAACTTTGCATAGATTCACAAAGCTAGATACGTACGTATCTATTTCTCACGATTTCAATGAACTTAGTACAATTCGAGTTTGTCTGACTTTGAACCATTCTCTTTTTCCAGTTAGTTGGACACACCACTGAAGTGAGATGGCGCGGTAAGACAGTGTAGAAACGTGATTAACTACCGTTCACGACGGACCAAAATTAAATAGAGCACCACCGTCAGTCAGTGTGTGTTGAAATGGCCTAGTGATCGGTTAAAATTTTGCATTCGTTCGGCGGTGAAGGGTAGGCCCATAAAATTCAGCAACAGCGATCCAGTGATCAGTGGACTAAACGTAGTTTGGTTTCGTCAGGCTAATCTTAAGCTGACAAATGTAGATGCAATGATTTATGTGATTCGCAAACACTTTGGAAGATAGAAGAACAAAAGATTTAAATTCAGCATGTTCTTCTATGAGTAATTTTCTATTTCGGTACACATTAAAACGTCATGTGCAAGCAGATGATCATGAAACATGTGTTATGGCAATCGAAACCATTTCTATCTACCCCTACCACATATTGACTGTGTCACGATCTGCTATTATAAACAATGAGTATTTACGGGTGTGAAGTCCACTGATCGACTGTTCACCATGTGGTCGGTGTCAATCAATCATTGATTTGAGCTACAATCAGAAAAAAAATAAACTCGACATAAATTGGAGAAAACGATAGCAATTATTGCAGAGTAGGTGATCAACCATGTCATACTGCCAAATTTTGCAATTTTAGGAGTCTGGCTTCAAGATGGAACGCTCGGGTAAAGTGTACCACGCTACGAGAAATTTCATGTTCAAGTATTTTCTGGCGGTAAGTAATGCGTTTGTTATCATAACAGAAAAGTGGTATATATGAGATCACATGCGCTAAGGCCGTTTCAGAAGGGTCTGTGGCGATTTGTAACAGTAAATTTATGAAACAAAGGTAACAACTGCTAGAGGGCTTTATAACTTTTGGTTTTTAAATCTTTGAACGATGGATTATAGTTCGTACAACACTGGATCAAAAATGAAAGCATATTGTGGTACCACACTACATACTCGAAGGCTACTATTTGTCTACTATAGGATAACGTGGGGCAAGATGGGTCAGTTTCCTGATTTTTTTGATTTATTTGTTTGTTAACACAACTTACTTGAATGATTCAACATGTAGCCTTAATGATGCTTTGAAATAGTAAACCATCATTGGGGTTACATTGAGCCAGTTGTTGCTGACAAATAAATAAATAAAATAATAAATAAACTTATCCAGGTTTAGCCACATTTAACCATTCCATGATCTGCTTTTCTATCAAGTTTATCACTACCGACCGTAGTTTTCATCGTCTTCGTCGTCTTGAAAGAACGCAAATCGCGTTGACTTTCCTCACTCACATATCTAGGGTGCCAACTGAATTTACCTATCTAAATTCCGTGTTAGAGTTCGTTTGTGGTATTTGTTTATTATGGCGGTGGTTTCAAAGCCATTATGAAGTCTGTAAGGCCATTTTTGATACCTCACATACCTACCCTAAATCATCAAAAATGGCGTTACAGACTCCAAAATGGCTTTGAAACCACCACCCTAATAAACAAATACCATAAACGAACTCTATCCCAGATGGGCAAACTATCCTACAAATGGTTTGGATGAGACCCCGAACACATCGTTAAGCTCTCTTGTATAGTTATTTTTATTAGGGCGTGATGGCATTACAACAAGATTGATAGAATCCACAAGGGACCTTCTAAAGAAACATTGCAAGTTTTATCGAGGTTTACTAGCATTCTACAAGTCTAAATCATGGTCTAAAGTACCCTCATAAAACCAAAATTATTATTTGGGCAAGGCAAACAACAGTCATGACAACAGCCATTTGTGGATTCTATCAACCTTGTCGTTAAACGTGAACATTACCCAAAAACCGAAATGTGTTGAGATCTGCCCCTTTTTTTTCCTTGATTAGTTTTCCGTCGATCTTGTTTTCCGTACGTACTGTTATACGAATTATTTAATTTGTTTTTCTTCTTCGGACTTAACGTGTCTAAATGAAGCCTGATGGGGAAAAGCCTAGAAAAGGCGTAAAAACCCCATATCTTTTCGAAATACATGAATCACAATAGTACAATACAATTACAACGAACATTAATCAAGTCTATAGCATAAAAAAAGTTATTTTCCTATGGCATAGGAGGAAATCTGTGAAATTTTACCGAAATCTCAACAACTGAACGTTCGGTAATCTTAGTGTGGGGACGTATCACCCGCGTAAAAAGTGACTCCAGTGTACACTAGGAAAAGAAGTACGATAATTTCTGTCTGTGTCTGAATTTTTATGCAGTACGTTTTGGCTCATGGCAAATATTGGCCAGGGAGCACTCAGAACATGCCCGATTGTGACCAATGCGACTTTCGGTGCTCGAAATGATTACACTAGTTTACAACATATTTGAACTGTGTACGCTGATGGCCATTTCCCAAGTAAAATGGTGCGTTGAATCCAAAAATTTAGTCAGAAAAAATCTCTGTAGCATAGTTTTCTACACACTTAGTTTTTTTTTCTACCGAGCTCGGCTGTGCAAATCTCGGCAATCAAAGTTTTACCAACAATCAATACGAAACTAACGATTTTAAATTGGCTCACCACTTTAGTAGCCTATTGGTCCCAAGCAAACGATTAACGTACCCTATTCTAGTTGAAATTCTATTACTACACTATGTTTGTTTTGATTCGCTATGAAAGTTTGACAGATAACATCAGGGGTGTGTGGATTCATGCAGAACATGCAGGGGTGAGTGAAATAGCTTGGGACTGCTTGGGACCGTTGTTCTGGCACTAAGTGAGCCAAAAATAATAATGATTTTCTTCGGGACCCAGTGGTCTTAGAGTTACCTCTATGGTTTTACTGAGATCTCAGCAAAGATTTCAACATTATCCGAGAGTTTGCAATCAAATGTCACTTTTGCTGAGATCTCAGTGAAACTTTTTGTGCCGAGATTTGAACAGCCAAGCTCGGTAGCTTTTGTTACTGGGATGCCAAAACACCGGAAGATTATAGAAGATAAGTTTTTTGTTAATTCAATTCACTGAATAAATCATTGAAATATTCTTCAGTCACTGATATTTATTGAAATTATTGTATACCAATCGTCCATTTAAATAACTTATTCTTCAGTGAGAATGACTGGTTTGAATTAAGCTAAATTTAGCTATTTTAACCGATTTATTTGTTCCACATGCTAGCAATTTATGATCGATTCGGTTTCAGCTGACAACATTGTCCATCTTTCATTTTGTCTGCTCATCGTACACTTAAAAAAATCTACACGCGCCGTTCATGTGTTTCACATTTGAATTGGCGCAATGTGGCAAACACATTCATTTCAAATGTCTAACTTATGAAATCAGCCATACCTTATCCATGCTCCATTCACTTACAGCACACATGAATTTCATGTGATTTAAATGTCAAAGTCATGTGCATGATTTATTACCATAATATGTTTTGCATATGAATATGTTCTACAACACATGCTAAATTTAAACACGACCCTAATAAAAAATAACCATAAACGAACGATAACCCAAATCATTGAACTATTCCACAAATGGTTTGGATGATACCCAGAACACGTCGTTAAGCAAATTAACCATACAATTTTTATTAGGGGATGCACATGAATTTGATGAAAGACCTTGTAGCAATCTAATAGTATAACTATTGGATTCTAAGTTGATTTGTTGCTCTGAAATAGATAACTGAATTTCATTTAAGCAAATCGTAGTCATGCATACTGCATTCCAATAGTATCGTACAAACATAAAAATTGTTATCTGATACGCTTGAAACTCAATATACAGAACTACGGTCTACTTAAAAGTAATTATTGAACGGGGTTCAGTATGTAAAAATGATAAACACGATACATTTCAATTTTGATACATTAATTTACATTTTCATATTGTTTGTACAGTATATTAATCGTAGAAGATAGCTTAACCTATGCCCTGGATGCTCTAATCCTGTTTTTCGTTGGATCAATGCCGTGTTCTGTAATGAAAATATTGCATTAATGTTATAAATATATCTTATCATACAAACAATGTACTCACGGTTAATAATTTCTATAATTTCGTTAGGAAAACCTAACTCCACTAACAAACTTACTCTCCTCGCAAAGTTGCTGGTGCCTTCCATGTTTGTTTTGACACTTTAGGCACTCTTCTCATCATTATAGTGAGATCCGTACGATTCATGTGTCATACACGTTAAATACACTAGTGGAAAACAGTAGCGCAGAATTATATGAGGATCTCATGGATTTCGATAAGTAAACACATGAAATCAATGTGTGGTTAGTATTGATTTCATAAGCAATAAAAACATAGTTGAAGATGCTAATTTCAAATAACAGACTGTAGTGGTAATTTTTATACGATAGATGGAGTAGATGAAAGCATAGAGTTGATAGTTCCGTTAGAGTACGGCAGTGTGAAGATTGTATATAGATATTAGACAAGCGAGCTAGGACAACTTTTAAGGAAGGTACAAATCGGTTTTTTCATCTCTCTTTACCAAACTCCCCCTTTGGAGAGGGATGGTGAGGGGTTTCCCCCCCCCCCGCCACCACTGGCAAAAAGAGATGAAAACCGACCCCTTCCTTAAAAGTTGTCCTAGCTCGCTTGTCTAATATCTATATACAATCTTCACACTGCCGTACTCTAACGGAACTATCAACTCTATGCTTTCATCTACTCCATCTATCGTATAAAAATTACCACTACAGTCTGTTATTTGAAATTAGCATCTTCAACTATGTAAATCGTTGACTTCACGTAGAAGTAATACTAAAAAAAAAACATATAGTCAAAGTACATAACTCTGGATGGGAGCATACCATCAATTACTGTCAATGGTCGAAAGGTACAGTAGCAGCACCTACCCCACCCGTTTCCCCTCGAGATCGTCAAGTCGACGATGAAAGGAGCACATATCGTGGTAGGGGTAAACAATAGTTGCAATTTCCAAACCTACGACTGAATGCCTTCCTTCAAATAACAACTGAAGTGCGGTAAAAAATCGGTAGAACTGTTTCAAACACACAGTTGGTACATGAGCGGGTCGGTTTTCATCTCTTTTTGCCAGTGGTGGCGGGGGGGGGGGACACCCCTCACCATCCCTCTCCAAAGGGGGAGTTTGGTAAAGAGAGATGAAAAAACCGATTTGTACCTTCCTTAAAAGTTGTCCTAGCTCGCTGTTCTAATATCTATATGCAATCTTCACACTGCCGTACTCTAACGGAACTATCAACTCTATGCTTTCATCTACTCCATCTATCGTATAAAAATTACCACTACAGTCTGTTATTTAAAATTAGCATCTTCAACTATGTAAATCGTTGACTTCACGTAGAAGTAATACTAAAAAAAAACATATAGTCAAAGAATAAAAACATATTATTTTTTTGTGTAAATCTCATGACATCCGAGGGAAAAGCACATGATTCTATGGTAACAAGCAATGAATGGTCTTCATATTCCAAAACACATGAATGGAACGTGTCATTTTTTTTGAGTGTAAGCTGCTTCAAGTATATTCTAGTGTCGGTGTATAATGAGTCACGCCAAGAGAAAAACAGTTGAACTCGCATCACGGTTTTCGAAAGATTCCCTTTCTTTTCACTTGGCAACAGAGGACTTCTACATCAACTTCAAATGACTTCTAGCGAGAAAAAAAAATAGCGGCTGTAGTAAATCATTATATCAGTGATTTAGTCAAATTATCTCAACCAAAAATAGTAGAAATTCTCATAAGTTATCATTACCA